TTTCCAAGAAGAACTAAATTCATTCGTAGCACCGTTATACTAGTGTTTAGTGCTGCTAAAGATCTACTCTGACTTAGTTCTAGCGCTGACGAAGTTGTGGTAATCGAGAGTGACGCCCAAGTTACTCGGGTGGTTCCGATCAGTGCTTTCTACTAAAACATCGATAATTATAGGATTCAAATCTTCAGCCATCCATTTCTCGAATTGTTCGTCTTGCAAGTCGGAGACCAATTGCTTCACATCTCGGGTCTTAGCTTCACGTTTTGCATCGTACAGCATTCGCGCCAAATCCATGCGTTGAAAGTGCTCCTCCAATTCCGAGATAACTGCAAACTTTTCCGGAGTTTCCTTGTGCTTGTTCAGCTTGTTGACGTACGAGATCCAAGTAGTTAGCGCTGGATCCTCAAAAATACCATCAACTTTCTTTTCAAGCTTGAGAATGTCAAACACGTCGTCTGCTGTTTTTCCTTGATTTCGCCACAGTTCTTCCTCCAATTTTGAAGCTATGTTCTTCATAGTCACCCTATCCTTTGCTTGGATAATCATATTCTCCAGACTTTCGGCAGAGTAGTGTTTCTTCATCACCGAGAACAGCAACTCATCTGCATTGGCCTTGTCTAGTTTCATTGCGTAGGAAGTCCACGTGCCAAACATTGGACTTTCAAAGATCTTGTCGCCTTCCTTGTTTAGTTTAAGAAGGTTGTAGATATCATCCACGGAACTGCCAGCCCTGACCCAATTGTTCAATTGAGCTTTTCGCAATGTATCAAATAGACCCTGCGCGCTAAGATCACGTCTAGCCGCGACAAGCGCCTTCACAAACCCAGCATCGCCTACTTGTGTCTTCAGTTTCATGTACAACAATTCATTCGGATCCTGCTTGAGTTTTTCCACATACGAAAACCATAAGTTCAGAAGAGGGTTTTTCAGGATTTCATCTCCTGTGTCGGCATGAAGCTTAAGAAGCTTGAAAACATCATCAGCTGTCTTTCCATCTCTCACCCAGGTTTTAAGCTGATCTTGCTCAAGCTTGCCAGCTATTCTGTAAGTACCCCCACCAGCTTTCGCTGTTAGTAACACGTTTGCTAGCTCGTCGTCGCTATAATGCCTGGTTAGCTTGAGCAACAACATATGGTAAGGGTCATCCTTTCCAAGCTGTGTAACGTATGTGATCCAGGTGCTCAGCGCTGGATTTTCCAAAAGTCCGTCTCCCTTCTCAGCGTT